GTGGCTCCAGCACCCCCAGTAGCAGTAGACCCTCCAGCTCCAGCAGCACGGCTCCAGCGCCGAGCAAGCCACTCGCGCAACTCCTGTGGAGAGGGTAGCTCCCGCCGAGACGAAGCACCCGAAGGACCTCCAGGCCCAGCACCGCCAGACTCTACACGCGCAGGCTCAGCACCCTCAGGGTCCGCACCCCCAGACTCAGCAACCCCAGGCTCAGCACCCCCAGGCTCAGCACCCCCAGGCTCAGCACCTCCAGGCTCAGCACCCCCAGGCTCAGCACCCCCAGGCTCCGCACGCTCAGGCTCAGCACCCCCAGACCCGGCACCCGCAGGCTCAGCACCCCTAGCAGCACCAGAGTCAACAGCTACCTCGACAGGCTCGACTACGTCTACCTGGGACACACCTGAGGGGGCAGGACCCTGAGGGGGGAGGGGGTCTACCGGGGGGGGACCTGGCGCGAGGAAGAGCGGCGGGGGGGGGAGGGAGGCAGCACGGTAGGGGAAGAGACGGTAGTAAGGAACCGAATCGTCAAACTTGACGTCCTGGGAGGACAGAACACGGCGCGAGGTGGGGTGGTGAAACTGCCAACCAGGCACGTCAGGGGGGAAGCCGAGGAAGACGCAGGGAACAGCACGGGAGGACAGCTTGTCCGCAGACAAGTCGCGGACGAAAGCTCGAGATCCCCAAACACGGAACGCAGACGCATCGCCAACCTTCCCCGTCCACCGCAGAGTAGGGGAGGTCTCCGGCACGGAGACCCGGGGCTGAAGGTTGATCTGATGCGCCGCGTACTGAACCGCGAACGGCCACAGAAAATGGGGAGCAGCCGCATGAATCATGGACGTGCGAGCGACGTCCATGACCATGCCAATGCGGCGCTCAGCAATCCCATTTTGCTGTGGAGAAGCCGGAAGCGTGAACGTCTGGCGGATGCCTCGTGCACGATAGAAGGCTCGCAGAAGGTCGGAGGAAATATCTCCACCTCTGTCGGAGTGCAGACGCAGAACAGGAAAGTCCGAGCCGAAACTCTCTCTGAGCTGGAGACGGGCAGCGCGGATTCAGTCGATCAACACCGCAGTGACCTCACCCTTGCTGCGCAAGGGGAAGACTGTGGTGTAAAGCGAGTAGTCGTCAACCACCAGTAGGAAGTAACGCTCGTGACCCTGTCCACGGACGCGGGCTGGGCCCCACACGTCCATGTGGAGAGTCTGCAGCGGAGCCTCTGTCGGAGGAAACTCGGAGGAGTGAGGAGCGGCGCGCTGCCGCCCCTCGACGCAGGGAACGCAGGTAGGGGCAGGCCCCGGGGGAAGGGGAGGGAGGGACCGGGGGAGACCAGAGACAAGGACACGGGAGGCCATGCCTCGGAGACGAGGCAGGGAGGGGTGACCCAGGCGGTGGTGCCAGAGGAGAGTCTGGTGAGACAGGAGACGACACGAGCAGGGGGCAGACTCAGGACCAGACCTGGACGCTGCAGCAAACTCCTGACTCGACGCAGCTACCTGACCAGACGCAGAACCGGAGGAGACTCAGTAGTCAGTGTGTACAGGCTTGACCCCGGCTGACGGGTAAACGTGGCCAAGTGTCGGCCCGTCCGATCACACGTGCAGTGAGTCACTCGCTGACTCGTAGGAGTGAACTGGTCAACCCCCCCATCCTGTAGGTCAGCACCACTCACCAAGTTTGTAGAGAACGAGGGGAGGTAAAGACCTGACAGAGAGCCAGAAGGGGCCGCCGGGCACGGTTGGACAGTGGAGTAGTGAGCAAGGACAGGAACCCCAAAGGGGTCTGCCAGGGAGACTGCAACCGGCCGACTAAGCGGCGTGAGTGTGGTGCGGTCTCGAAAGAAGGAGCGGGAAGCACCCGAGTCAAGGGTGAAGGTGTGCGAGACCGCAGCAGGCGCAGCACCAGAGAGAGAAAACTCACCAGCACCTAGAGCAGCAGCCTCACCAACACCTGGAGTGGGAGATGCACGAGCACCTAGAGCAGCAGCCTCACCGGCACCTGGAGCAGGAGACGCACCAGCACCTAGAGCAGTAGCCTGGATACCGGGGTCAGGCGGCACACACAGGTGACAGGCACCCTCAGCACTAGTAGACAATGCATACATGGCAGTGAGGATAGCATCATAGTCAAGAGCAAAGATATCTACCCTCTGCCTAAGCAGCTCCAGCCAGGAGGGGAGCTCAGCGGTGTCGCTAAACTCTGTACGCCAAGCGTCGCTCAGACGGGCGAAGCAGCGGGACTCTGTGTGACCAGGTGTCCCGCAAGGCTGACCAGTCCGGACACCCGTGCGAATGACGTACGGGCAGCGAGCAGTACTCAGTGACCCTCTACTCTGAGCGTACCACTCACGAAGCTGCTGGGACGAAAGAGCCTCGCGGGGACGACGCTGCAGCTGCACCTGGCCACTGCCAGAAGCTCCCGAACTACCCACTCCAGGACGACTCCCACTACGGCCACCCCGACAACCCCAACTACCGTACCACTCACGAAGCTGCTGGGGCGTTAGGGTCGCACGCGGACGGCCCTGGAGCTGCATCTGGCCACGCCAGGAGCAGCAGTAGCAGCAGTAATAGCAGTAGCAGCAGTAGCAGTGGTAGCAGCAGCAGCAGCAGTAGCAGCAGTAACAGCAGTAGCAGCAGTAGCAGCAGTAACAGCGCGGGTAGGGAAGTGCTCACCAGTGGTGGGAAGGGCAGGCGCAAGACGGCGGTGACGGCGGGGCCGCTACAGCTGCAGGGCGGGGCCGCAACCGCGGCAGGGAGCTCCGCGGCAGCTGCTGCAGGGCGGGGCCACGACTGCGGCTAGGGGCTCCGCGGCAGTTGCTGCAGGGCGGGGCCGGGCCGCGACGGTAGCTGCTGCAGGGCGGGGACAGGGCCGCGACGGTAGCTGCTGCAGGGTGGGGCAGGGCCGCGACGGCAGCTGCTGCAACTGCTGCTACTCGAGCCGCAGCAGCAGGTTAGCACTAGCTGTAGCAACAGTAGTTGCAGTAGCAACAGTAGCACTAGCTGTAGCAGCAGTAGTTAGTAGTAGCAGCGGAGCAGAGCGCACAAGAGCGTGGGTAGAGCAGAGCGCACAAGAGCGCGGGCAGCAGCAGAGCGCACGAGGGCGCGGGCAGAGACAGAGCGCACGAGGGCGCGGCTGTAGCAGTGGCGGCTGCTCCAGGGGCCAGGGGCGGCTGCTGCAGGGGCGGCTGCTCGAGGGGCCAGGGGCGGCTGCTGCAGGGGCGGCTGCTCCAGGGGCCAGAGGCGGCTGCTGCAGGGGCGGCTGCTCCAGGGGCCAGGGGCGGCTGCTGCAGTGGCGGCTGCTCCAGGGGCCAGGGGCGGCTGCTGCAGGGGCGGCTGCAGCAAGTAGCAGCAGCGGCAGCAAGTAGAAGCAGCTGCAGCAAGTAGAAACAGCGGTAGAGCAGCAGCACAGGCGCAGTGCAGCGTGCAGGCCTGGCGTGGGCTGTACTGGCCGCGCGCGGGCCTGACGTGGCCTGTACGGGCTGCGCGAATGCCTAGCGCGGACCGTACGGGCCGCTCTCGGACCTGACGTGGCCTGTACGGGCTGCGCTAACGCCTAGCGCTGACTGTACGGGCCGCGCGCGGGCCTAACGTAGGCTATACGGGCCGCGCGCGGGCGTGGCGCGGGCTGTACGGGCGGCGCGAAGGCCAGACGGGGGCTGTACGGGCTGCTCGCGGGCTACGCGCGACAGGACAGGGCAGGGCCGCGGGGCAGGGAAAATCGATGCACCTAAGGGCGCATTTCGGGCAGAAAAAAGCAGAGAACGCGATTCGGGCAGGAACACGGAAGGTTTAACGGTGGGCCCTAAAAAAAATTCGTCCTAGGCTAGGAACGTCCTAGCTCTTAATACCATGTGAGAATAGTATGAAGGTATGATCATGATTAGGGCAAGGAGGGGGATACAAAGATGTGTCGAGCAAAATTCTGTACCACCTAAGGCTAAACCCACTACAGCCTAGATAACATTAAACATATAATTTGACAGATAGCTGGGTGCCCCTGGCCAACATCGAAAACCACCCTGCCCTGCAAGTGTACCTGAGGAGCCGGGGCTTCCGCGATATACACGCACTCGCGTAGCGGAGGGGGCTTCTTGAGGGGGGGGGTAGTGTAAGGAATTTTCTCGATATTTCTTAGTGCGCCCTGCAACATCGCGTACAGCAGCAGCCGTTGTTCGCCCGTTACTGCTAACGGGGCTTCGCCGACTTCGCGCGCACTGTTTCACCAAACCTCGCACTGCTGGCCTGGCCGTGTCGGCCTACGCTTCGGGACTAGCCCGAGCCTCGCTTCCAGCGTAGCACTAGCTAGCTCGCACGCACCGCGTTACCGTTTTCATGTTTCGCGTATAAATGTTCGCTCATGCCTTCGCTCACATTTTGTACTCGTTTGACACCCTACAATTCTCGCTACTTCGATTCATTGCACCCGTAACACCTTACATTATAAACCTACATGAACTCTACCTGGGCGAAACGTTGCCCGTCGCCAATATCGCAAGTGACCCATATTTCATCGTTATGTTCGTCAGCTCCGTGAGTACTGCGGATAGCGCAAACCGTGACCGGGTTCATTTCTTTCAGGTGACACGACGTTCTTCCAATCAGATTCAACAACTCGCCAAGCTCCCACCAGCACCGCAGCGGTCAAGGCCCCCTGGCGCAGCACGTTCCGCCCAGCCAACCACCAACCTCCCGCCAGTGGGTGGATCGAATCCTCCACTCTGCCGCATTCCCCGCTCCCTGTCCTCCCCCTCCAAGCTGAGCTCCTCCGCGAAGAGCCGTCATTTCTTGGGAGTCAGGCTTGGGGGAAGTGGTTGATCCCAAACTAGCTCAGTTTGCCAGCCCCTTGCCCTCTTCTACAGCTAGCTGTCAAGGCCTCCATTCAAATTTGTTGGTTGTGGCAAAAATTTAGAATCGAGAAAGCACACGTTGCCACTCGCCATCGCGATTGTAGCGGTCCCAGTTTCAACCCCCGGGTGTTTTTCCCGTGTTCCGGCTGCCATGATGCAGCCACCGCGGTGGGTGACAGTCCTGCTTCTGCTGGCGGTGTCCGTGCCGGCGCGCGTGGTGGCGGCGCACGTGTGTCCGCCCCTGTCGTGCGCGGCGACGCGGCTGGGATACCTGTGGGACCACAACAACCAGGGCCACCTGGGGGAGGAGGAGCTGCAGGGCGACCTGCGCAAGTCGCAGCACTGCATGCTGCTGTGCCGCCGCACGCGCGGCTGCTACATCTGGATGTTTCGCTTCAGCAGCGACGGAGGTGAGTGCGCGACTGCCGTGACTCGGTTCTTGATCAGAAGGTGAGTGCGCCAGGCTTGCCTGTGAGCCATACCGATAAATCAAACTGTAGCGAGCGCACCCGTGGTCTCAGAACTGTTACGCAGGTTTTCTCGGTTGGTCGTCGTTTAGCGGGCTCTATGCTACACAAGCCGCCTTGTGTATATCTTTGCGGTCATGCCCTCACCATACAAAAGTTGAGCGCTTCGTAGCCGTGCTGACGCTCTTGTGAGTGCGAACACGCATTGCATCGCATCCAGAACACGAAGGCAGTTGCATGCCGTGCAGCGAGCTTTTCGTCTCCTCTAATTCAAGTTCCTTCTCTCCATTTCGGAGCTTACCAATGTGAAAAAAAAATACATGAAATTGAAGTTTCGAACAAGCCATGTAAATGCTGCCTACGCACACTTGAATTGTAATCCATGCCCTTTGTCATCCGCCGTAATTCCTCCTGGCATCGGTGTATCGCTCGTGGACATCGGTACAACCTGACTGCGTATCACATCGTCTCTATCCACCCACACCCCCGTGCGCTGCCAATCCCCCACGGCCGTTGCGCGTGCGCGCAGCGTTCTGCCGCATGTGGTCGCTGGAGCAGAGTCCGTGCAACGTGGACCCCAGCGACGGCGCCAACCCCGTGCACTACAACCCCACGCCGCCCTGGGAGGGCTTCTTCGGCTTCGGCGGCAACTGCTCCTCCGACGCCGATGCCCAGGGGCAGACGCAGGCGCAGGCGCAGGCGCAGGGGCAGGGGCAGGGGCAGGGGCAGGGGCAGGGGCAGGGGCAGGGGCAGGGGCAGGGGCAGGGGCAGGCGCAGCTTCCTCTCGGGTACGGGCAGGGCCCACCCCAGGGAGGAAACGGTGGTGACCAGGGCCAAGGACAGCCGGGACAAGGCCAGCAACAGGGGCAAGGGCAGTTCCCGCAGGGGCAGGGGCAGGGTTACCAGCAGGCGCAAGGCGCGTCACTGGGGTCGGGGCAGCTGCCTGCGCCTGGTGGCGTGGTGTCAGGGCCGCGGGGAGACCAGTGGCAGGGCGCGCAGGCGCAGGGAGGGGCGCAGGGGCAGGGGAATGGTCAGGAGTGGCAGGGTGCTAGACGACAGGGAGGCTGGCAGGGGCAGGGGCAAGGAGAGGGGCAGGGGCAGGGGCAGGGGCAGGGGCAGGGGCAGGGGCAGGGGCAGGGGCAGGGGCAGGGGCAGGGGCAGGGGCAGGGGCAGGGGCAGGGGCAGGGGCAAGGACAGGAGCAGGGCCAATTTGGGGGGGGAATCGGTGGAGGTGGAATGAATGGGAGCGCGCTGCCTGCTGAGGACCTAACTGTGCCCAAAGAGTACTTTCTGCCAGCTAGAGGAGGTACGACACGTGCTGCTTGATGGGAGGGTAACTCGATTCATTTGTCAACATTGTGCACAGCTGTGGTGTGTGTATATGTTGCATTACGGTTGCTGATTGCCATGCTTCTGTGCTCACGTGCTTGTCTGCATGTTATTTCCTCTCACTGCCTAGTTGCGTCTCAGTTTGTATCATTATTTTATGCAGATGCTCGTCACATGTCACACCACTCTATCCCTCATTCGTATCCCCCTTTTCCGCCACCTTCTCTCTCCCACGCGCCCCGTCCCTTGGCTCCCACCAGTTCCCACGGAGCCATGTCCATGGCTCAAGTGCAACGTGGCGACACGTGGGTTCCTGTTTGACCACCCGGCGCGCGGCCACCTCACCGTCATCTCCACTGCCACCAGCCGCCGGCGCCGCGCACACGACTGCTGGAGCGCCTGCCGCAAGACAGATGGGTGCGCCTTCTGGATGTTCGAACAGGGCAACTCCCCCACAGGTGCGCTCACAGGGAAGGGAGAATGGGTGCGTGGTCTTGCCACCTGCAAGTCCTACAATGACATGGCAAGGGCATGCCGCTATGTCCTTACCGTTTCCCCTCTCGTGCCTTTGTGTGAGCAGGATATTGCAAGATGTGGAACAACGAGCAGAACCCATGTGACCCAGACATGCCAGGTGATCCCACGTCAGCACACTTCCAGCACAGGGAGGACAGGCGCTTCGTGGTGGGAGGGCACTGCAAGGGAGGAGCCTCCAACTTCCAGTTCCAGAACAGGCAAAGACAGTTATAGCGCGGGGAGAACATTACAGTAACCGGATTATTTTGTTGTGGGTTTGAATTCTGCAGGGTGCCACAATTACCGTACTAGACAAGCTGAAGTAGAACACACACAGCTGCATGATATTGGCACTAATATGTCTCAAAGTAGGAATGCAACGGAATGATGAGATTGGGAATGCGGGCGATACCGTATTATTCCGGCTACAGGACCCGCCGGTAAAAGGGTCCCCCGGGACTCTCTATGGGGTACTGGGACTCTTAATTTGGTACCAAAATGAGGACGCGTCACCTCTTTCCAAAATGGCAGGATCGAGGGGAAATCGGTACAACACACCGATTTTGCCGCGATCGGTGTGCATATCGGTGTGCTCCATTGCACTTTTCCGACCGCGGGGCTCCGCCGAGCCACAGGTGACAAGCTAGAAATTTTATGGGGCAAAGTTGCACGATCGCCACAATTGCACGATCGATAGTCGGCTTTTGGCACATCAATCGCGTGAGCCCTAGGTGACACCTTCTGGATGACCAATTTACTGTACATTCTCGAAAAATTCCGAAACCTTGAAACAGCACATTTCGCCAACTCGCGAAAGCACTTTACACCCGACACACCGATCGTGTGCACGATCGATCGCCCTCCTGAAGAAAGAGGTGACGCGTCCTGAGAGGACCCCCCTTTTGACCCTAAACATTATAAGACCCCCCACGTCTCTTTAGAGTGTGTTTCATTACAGGGAGTTTTTCTACTACTGCAATAGTGTACTACAAAACACAACAATGATGTCAAAAACAACCTTCGATTCCACACCAGTTAGAGTTAACGTTATCGGAAGCAATCCTGCTCAACTGCAATTCTAGACATGCAAATATACTCTTCTCCTGCCAATAGCCACCAGCATGTCTCTCACTCCTCCTCCTCCTCCTCCACATCCCCCTCCATGTCCAGCTCCTCCTCCTCCTCCTCATCCTCGTCCTCGTCATCCTCCTCCTCCTCCTCCTCCTCGGGCGGCACGTCCCCACAATCCTCGTGATCCATCGCCTCAGCCGCCGCCGCGTCCTCAGCGGCAGTGGCGAAGAGGGGGTTCACCCACTCCTCCACCTCAGGAGCGGTGTGAACATCATTGGCCACCTCAACCTCGCCACCATCCCGCATGTGGGCGAGGATGAGGTGATCCTCCTTTCCACCTACGGCGTTGCTGATGCCGGTGGTGAGAAAAGAACGCTCGATGATGTACGTGGGCACTTGCGCCCAGGCAGTTGCGATCCACTTCAGAACCATCTCCGCTGGGGCCTTCCTCAAGTTTCATGCGGTGTACACGGTAAGATGCGTTAGGGAACAGGGGGAAAAACGTATCATAGGGATTACACGCTTCAACGGTGTGCTGCCTATGATCACCTGCGGGCGTGAAGGTGTTGACGCCGACTTCGGCGAACCAAGCGTTGTACAGTTGGCGAAGCACCGCCTTGAACGAGCGGTTCACGCTCACATCCAGCGGCTGCAGCAGAGGGGTGCACCCCCTGGGGATGATGGCCGGGATGACCCGGTTCCACCTCAGGTTCGCGAGCACGCGATCAGTTAGGTGTCCCCGGTAGGAGTCCACGACCAGGAGCGTCTTGGACCGACGGCGACCAGCAGGAGGCTTGATGAAAGGAAGGAATATCTGGTTCACCCACTCCTCGACGAGCTTGGAATCCATCCAACCTCGCTCCTGCGCCTTGATGACCACTCCTGCCAAAGGAACCACAAGAGACACACGAGATTTGCACCGTTACAAGTGTTGCCTCGGATTCTACATGGCGCTTCGCTCACCTGGGGGGACACGGAGCTTAGGGATGGTTTTCCGCTTGAAAATGACCATCGCGGGGAGCTTGCGGCCCTCAGCAGTGATGCCGAGCATCACTGTCACCCTTTCCTTCTCGTAGCCCGCGCTACGAACATGCACCGTCTTCTCCCCGCGGTGGTGAAGTGTCCGCTCACACGACATCTCCAAGAGCACCGGCGTTTGGTCAGCATTGACAATGTTCCATGTGTCAATGCCCCATATGATGATGTTCTTCCTCACGAAGGCCCAAAAATTCTCGCACTTCGGCTTGCAATCTGTAAAGAGCCAACGACACAACAGAAACATTGAGTTTAATCGAGTTCACCGGCTGACAACAACAACGGCAAGAAACATGACAGAAATTGTGGGCGCGGTCGTTGTTTACTCTTACCTTCAGCAAGGCGCCGACCCATCTTTGTTTTCACACGGATGGTCAGGCCGTAGCGTGCGCGGAAGCGGAAAGTCCACCGCGGGGACGCCATCCACCTTACGTCCGGACGGTGATTCTTCATGTACGTGCGACTCCACTGCCGGATGAGGCGGATGGGGACGGCTAAGCCCCGACCGCGGAAGCTGAGATGTTTCTTATACACCGCCGCCTCCATCTCCGGGTATTTAGCTCCCCCCCCCCCCCCCCCACTGAGGCGGCACCTGCTCAGATCTGCTTTCTTGATCCGCTCCGCCACCTTAATCCATCGGCGGACGCTGATTGGCTGCACCCCGGCCAAACGAGCGGTGTGTCATACGGAGAGATTCTCCTGCTCCATGCGAGCTAGCCACTCCTGCTTCTCTCCGATCGTTCGCGCCGTGCGACGGTGAGATGTCCGGCGCGCACGAGGACTGGACGGCGCTCCGTCAGCACGGCGCGTGGGGCCCGTCTCTTCGTGGACGAGATCCGGGGGGATCGTTGGGACAGGAAAGTCCCCCACTTCTTGCTCCATCTTGTCGTCGTTTTCAGCGGCGGCGTCATCTTCGTCCTCTCCGTCCTCGGGCTCGGGAAACCCTTCGTGAGAGGGTTCGAACAAAGGAGTCGTGCGATAGTCGATGAAAGCCTGAGGCAGCACAATCGGCGCAGGAGACGCAGGAGGCGCAGGTGGTGCTGGCGACGACGGGCTTGTTATCAGAACTATAGCCGGCTGCTTGGACGGACTGCCAAGGCTCGAACGGCTGCTTCGCCAAGGGGATTCAAAGGCCGCCATGGTACTACTACGGTACTACTACTCTAACATGTTTGTTGTGTGTCTGCTTATGAGGTCTTGTAGTAGCGTTCAAAGTTGTGTGGAATTTGAGGCACAAGATCTGAAGCCACGAAGAGAGAGTCCATCTGCTCGGTAGGCTGCTGGACGTGATTCCTGTAACACATCACATCCAGCTTCTGTCAAACCCTTGTAAAAGAAGGGAAGAGAGACGTGGCCAGGCTGGGTACAGTACAGTGAAGAGGATAAGGCGGTTCGCCGATTTTGGGCTATAAACCACCGTCGTGCCTCGTCTCACGCGTGTCACACCAGAAAGTCGCGTTCGTGATGCTAGAAGCGAGGAATTTGAGTGTGTAAAATAAGACCCCCCCCACCCCCCCCTGTACAGGAACTGTGCATGGTAAATCCTTAAAATTTAATATTCAAATAAGCACACCCGGGTCTTAAAAAACTGTATGCCACCTACATGTACACCCTAGCTATGTTTCCTGCATTTGTAGAAAGTCCCCCGGGTCCTATAGCCGGAATAATACGTTACAAATAGCATACCCTAACTGAGTTGTACTCACTAAGGAGCACCTCACTACAGCCTATCACAAATATCAACATTTGACACACCCCCATTGCAAGCAGGGTGAACAAACGGTCACAAGGCCAGTCAATGCAAGAAGCAAAGCAAGCTCAGGGTGGATCTCAAGGACACCACACAAATTCTGAGCACAAACAAGCGGCCACAAGGCCTGTTCAAGAGTTCACTAGGATATATAATAGCTAAGTACAACAAGTAGAGCAAGCAACAAGGCTACAGCAACCGAGGACCTGCCTCAAGAAGCCCTAACTGCACACAGAACCGGTGGTGATCACCAGGCGCCAAGGCCTTGGTGAAGAGGTCAGCAGTGTTGGCATCTGAGGCCACAAAGTTCAGGCGCGCCGGGCCGCATCGCTGTAGCTAACGCAGAAGGAAGTACCGGACGTCGATGTGCTTCACCCTGGTCTCCAGTCGAGGCTCGCGACACAAGAGAATTATGGCCTTGTTGTCAGCGAACAAGGTCGGAGCAGTGTAAGTCGCTCACCAAGGTCAGCGAGCAAGAAGGTCAACCAGCGAAGCTCCTGAGCAGCCATAGCACCGGCGTAGATATCTGCCTCTGCACTGGACGAAGCCACTGACGACGACCGTGTGGACCTCCACGACACAGCCCCAGCCCCCAGACTGAAACAGTAACCCTAGTTCGAGCGCTGAGTCCCCACGTCGTCAGCGTAAGAAGAGTCACAAAGGCCAGTCAGCTCAACTGGCCGAATCCCTCCAAGCACAAGCCCCATGCCTGATGTAGTCGCCAGGTACTTCGCCACCCTCACGGCAGCCGTCTAGTGAACAGGACGGTGCCTCCCAGGTCCAACAAAGCGAGAGAGGACACTAAGAGGGTAGGCGAGGTCCGGACGAGTACAGGCCATCAGGTACATGAGGCAGCCAACAAGCTCTGGGTAGGGACCACTGGGCTCAAAGGGCTCGTCGGGGAAGGGGCCGGTGAGTCTGTGGTTTACAGCAAGAGGAGTGGGCTCTGTGGTGGAGTGCTGAAGCCCGAACCGCGGAAGGACCTGCTGCACCATGTGTGACTGCGTCAACGTGATGGTGCGAGCGGCTCTGTCCCTGGTGATCTGCAGGCCAAGGTAGCGCTGCAGTTCACCAAGGTCAGTGCACGTGTGTCTCTTCTGCAGTTCGGACTTCACCTCAGCCAGAGCTGCCCTGTCTGGTGTAGCAAAGACCAAGTCGTCGACGTAGACGAGTATAAAGAAAGGAGTGGAGCCGCTTCTTCAGGTTGTAGCTGCTCGGCAGCCCCTTCAAGACATGGGTGACGTACGACGCCGTGGAGTACTGCACGCCGGACATCCTCATGGTGGCGAGAAGTCGCCGAGCCCGGTTGCAGTAGTCGGTCGCCGTCTCCTGGTCGCCCATCCGCAGATGCGTCATCTCCTCCTCGAGCTGGCCGATGTACAGATCGTCGGTGACCTGGTACGTCGATTCGATGAAGTGCCACGCCTGGTGGCCGGCGTCCAAGTAGTCCCTGCACGACTTCAAGGCGATCTGCACGCCCGGCGAGCAACACCGCGAGATGACTGTGAAGGTCAGCAACTGCACAACGCGAAACTCCGCACGCAGTTTGGGGTAGTGCTCCGACGGCATCTCCGTGGTGCCTCGGGCGAAGCTGATCAGCCCGGCCATCTCCAGCTGGGGCTCGATGGCTTCCTTCTAGGTAAGTATGTTGGGTCGACTGACGAGCAGGGGGGTGACCAAGATCCTGTCCGGCGTAAACTTGAAGTAGCCGTAGCTCGGTGCTATCCCGCCCGCTAGCACGTGGGTCGCCGACATCAGTGACAAACCGCTTCGTCGACCTCCGACGTCGCCTTGTGAGGAGCCAGCAGCCGCCGACGACCGCATCCCTCGCGTCTGAACGCTGCAGACTTCATCGGCGTGTATCACACCTTGCTGTCTCGACGTGCCTCTCGCATTGCTGCCGACTTGGTCACCACCGGCGTTGACGCCGCCCTCGGTGTTTCCCGGTCGAGGAGAGACAGGCCGAAAAGGGTGCTCCGTCGCCCACACGGCATGGATGCCAGCCTCGACGACCGCCCACGGCAGGTCGCCATACTCGTTAGCCCCGTGACGTCTCCTTGCGTTCTCCAGCCGTGCCTCCAGGATGTCTACCACCCCCGTTTGAACTACGGCTCCCACCATAGTGACTACCGCACGGTTGCTGGCCTACAAACACAAATTAGGTAAGTGAAAACTACGTCGACCTGACTGAAAGATAAGTCGTGTGCTGTCCACGCTCACTGCACCATGCGGAGATAACCTAATCAACGGGAGCTAGACTACGGGCTAGGCACGGGGCAAGAGTGATCTCTGCGTTCGTTCCTTCATCGTTTCCTTGTGCACACAGTACTTGCTAGTTCACTGGGAGAATTGGCAAGAGTTTCACTAGCAAAGATTGACAACAATGGTTCAAAATGATAGCAACAACGTTGGCATGCAAGACTACATCAGACCTTCCGAGGTCGGCCTCGCCACTAACACATGGGTGACTGTCGCGTGCCTCCGCAGAAACCCGTCGCCCGGGTAACCTGGTCGACCGGGCAACCACCTTGTTGACCAGCTCCTCCTTGTGCCCGTCAACGTCCCAAGTCGACGACCACCTCCAGTCGACCACACCAGGTCGACTTCACCTTTAGTCGACCAGCTCCAGGTCGACGACACTCCTGGTCGGCCAACTCCAGGTCGGCTAGCACACCTGTCAGCCGACCACCCAAGTTGGCTTCCCCAGGTCCGCGTCACCAAGTTGACGCCTCCGATGTCAACCTCGACAGGTCGACCACCCGAAGTCGGCGCTCTCCCACAGTCGGCACCCTTGCAGTGGCCCCCGTGCAGGTCGACCAGTCCCGTCGACCAGCTTGCCCACTGCTGCAGGTCGGCTGCACCTCCCGCACACCCAACCACGAGGTCGACTCCGCCCAAGCGAGGATGGGGCCAACACAACTCCCGTTGACATGCCCTCAGCGTCAGCCTCGAGAAGAATTGTAGGATCCTCCATGCCCCAGGGCAACTCGGGTGCTTCGAGAGTCGCACGAGCGGTATTTTTATGCAGTGGCTAAATGCTTTTAGAATTCCAGGAGGAAGCTTCCTAACCAGGAGGGGTTGGGCATTGCTTCGGAGTGGTCTCAGGTCCCATTCGTCCACCCACTGCCACGTGTCCCTGTCATCTGCGATCTTGCTTAGCGCATGTTTCTTGCTGGCAGCCTCATTGGGCTGTTGTTTTCTTGATTCGCCCACGTCTGCAGCTGTATCCCTGCCCTCTCGCGCTCGTACGCATCCCCAATTTGCGGTACGGATGGGTACTCTCTACTCAGCCTCTACTGAGGCGTCTTCGAACTCCACCTCTTGTGAGGCCATATAGTCTGACCTGCTCGCCTCACTTAGGTCATTCGTTGGCCCTTCGCTCTGTACCTCTTCCCTTCTGTGCCTTTCCCGCCAGTGTCCAGATCTGGCCTTCTTTTTCACCACAGCTCACACGAGGTCCTGAGTACCACGCCCTCCACTGCCTCAGCCTCTCCCACACCCTCTGCCCGCTGCTCTTGGCACCGCTTCACGCGGCCGCTGACCTCAGGCTCATTCGTCGGCATATTCCTCCAGAGCTCGCTGTCTGTCCGCCGTCGGCTTGTGCGTGTCTGCTGTCGGCATTCTGTGTATTCAACCACTTGCGTTTCCCCCACCAACAGTCGGAACTGCCTTCTTTTGCTCTGCATCGTCGACAAGTGCTAGAGTGGCCGCTTCCAAGCGTTGGACTGATGACGGACAAGCGGCGCACCCATCCTCGGCCGGAGCCGTCGGCAGGCCTCCCTGCTGCTCCCAGCCC